TTCAATGAAGGTATAATGTGGAAAAGTACAGCTATATCAAGAATGTGAACAGGAATAAAAATGACAGGATTCAATACTCATCTTTCATTAATAACTTTAAATATTAATGTACTGAACTCCCCAGTCAGAAGACATAGACTAGGTGAATTGTATTAAGAAACAAAACCCATCTTTTTGTTGTCTGCAAGAAACTCATCTCACTTTCAAGGACAGGCACTCTCTTAAAGTGAAAGGATAGAAAAAAATATACCAAACAAATGGTACTAAGAAAAAAGTAGGCATTGAATTTCTAATAAACAATACTACAGGACTTTAAGACCCAGATTAACCCCAATTCATTAATAGTAGGCAACTTCAATACCCCACTGTCTCCATTAGATAGGTCAACAGGGCAGAGAGTTAACAGAGAGACATCTAAATTAAACAATACTGTATATTGAATGGACTTAACAGACATCTACCGAGTATTGCACCCAAGCACCAAAAGACATACTTTCTACTCAGCGCCCCATGGAACCTTCTTCAAAATTGAACATATACTGGGGCACAAAACAAACCTCAACAAACACAAAAAGTTTGAAATAATTCCATGCATTCTATCAGACCACAATGCAATAAAGCTTACAATCAACACCTGAAGAAGCCCTAGTCACCACATGTAGATTAAACAACACACTCCTGAATGATGAATGGGTCAAAAGAGAAATTAAGAAAGAAATAAAAGTATTCCTGGAACTAAATGAAAAGGACAATACAACACAACAAAACCTCTGGGACACACTGAAAGCTGTCCTTAGAGGGAAGTTTATAGCTCTAAGTGCCTACATTAAAAAATCAGAAAGAACATAAATAAATGACTTAACATTGCAACTCAACACACTTGAAAAGCAACAACAAATGAAACCCACCCCAACAGACAAGAAGAAATAACAAAATTCAGGGCATAAATTAATGAAATTGAAACAAAGGAAACAATACAAAGACTCAACGAATGCAAGAGCTAGTTCTTTGAAAAGATAAACAAGATTGACAGACTGCTAGCCCAGTTAACCAAAAGAAAGAAAGAACACTTCTAAATCAACAAAATCAGAGATGAAAGGGGAAACATC